GTTTGGTTTAATTGAATTTTTTGATCACTGATAACAGGGTATGGTAGCCACCCTTATCGTAGTATTATGTGTAGTCTTATCTGTCGCGTTAATGACTTTGGCAGAAAGAAAAATTATGGGTGCTATGCAAAGACGTATTGGACCCAATAAAGTTGGATATCTTGGTTTATTACAACCGTTTTGGCGAGCGGTTTTAAAATTTAACTATATGCTGGGAGTGTTAATTCATACCCCCCCTCAACAAGCGGGTGAATAAAATTACCTTAATCAGCAGATGTATATTATCATCTCAACGATCACACAGTTGAAAATAATTTAGGGTCACCCACCATGGTAAGCTACCCTATGGAGGCGGCAGGTGTCTATAATTATTAAGATATGATCTCTTGGCACCCAAAGGGGTGCAACATGTCACCCACCTCACCTCGTTGATGTTTAAGTAACTGTATGTATTAGTAGTAGTGGCATTACATTTAAATTTGCCCCTGCGGGTCCTGCTCTACTATACTTTATGACTTTATCCATCAATCTGTGACATTTTACGGTCGCCGATGGTATTAAATTAATTTAGAAAGAAACAGTATAGCCTTTAGAATCTAGCCATTGGTTCTTCTAGGGTGCACCTTTTATTACTTTTTATTTAGCCTTATAGAATTGGTTAGTCTTACCTTTAGACTATGGTGTTGCTTTATCTGAATTATTAGGAGCTGGTATTTAGGTATTAATTGCTATCTCTGAATTAAGTATTTATGGTGTTATTTATTCTGGTTGGGCAGCCAACTCTAAATACCCATTTTTAGGTTCTTTGAGATCTACAGCACAAATGATTAGTTATTCTGTGTCTTAGAGTCTGATCTTTTTAACCGTTATCTTTACCCTTGGTACTGTAAACTTATTAGATCTGCTAGCAGCCCAACAACCTATTGCTCTTTTCTGGCCACTTTTACCTATGGCTCTTTTATTTATGGTTTCTGCTGTTGCTGAAACGAACCGTGCGCCGTTTGACCTCCCAGAGGCTATTTGGTCTATTTAAATCACTTACAATATGCTAGAAAAGTTTAGTTGCTCTTCAGGTGCATCTGGGTTAACTAGCAGGATTTTATCCTCAGAGACTATAAAGTGAGCAAAAGTAATTTTGTAAGAAATAGTCCAATAGATTTATGATAATCTATTATTTGAAAAAGATATATTGGTTCCGCTTTAGATTTATCTAAAAGATTTCATGAACATTAGTATGTTAGTAGTGGTAAAAAAAGTAATATTAGATAGCAAAACGCTATTAAAGCACATGGTTTAAACAATTTCTTATTTTATGTGTATGAATTTACTAGTAGAGATAAAGTATCTCTTATTAGTGCTGAGCAAAAATTCTTGAATTATTTTCCTGTTACCTTGTTGTATAATTTTAAATTAGATGCAACCTCTATGACAGGGTACAAACATACTCCTGAAGCCATTTTAAAAATGGTGACTAGATATGAAGACCCTACTAACCACCCAATGTTTAATAGAAACCATTCCGAGCATAGTCGTATGTTAATTAGCAAAGCCACTACGGGTTCTAACAATCCCATGTTTGGTAAAACTCATTCTGATGTTACTAAATTGTTGATCTCTGCTAAACATACAAATACAGTATCTCTCTACAATAGTAATAATGAATATATCCTTACTTTTCAGAATTACACTAAATGTGCACAATTTGTAGGCTGTCATAAAGGTACTGTAGGTCGTTAAAAAATCAGGTAAATCTTAGTATAGTGCTGTCCATGACCAACATTTCTTTTTCAAATAATAGGGCTTATATATCTGTAACCCAGTAGGGTTGCGGTTTCACTGTTGACCAGGGCTAATTCAAGGAATCAGAATTAGTAGCTGGTTTTTTTACTGAACATTCAGCTGTCTCCTTCGCCTACTTTTTTTAGGGCGAATATACTTCCATTTTAGTTATTTGTACTCTCTTCTTCGTTTTATTCTTTGGTGTCTCTAGCTCTTTACCTATGATTTTCTTCTTTATCTGGTTGAGAGCCAGTCTACCTCGTTTGAGATTTGATCAATTACTTACTTTAGGTTGGGCTCATATTTTACCTTTTACTATCGCTTATATCTTATTCTTGCCTACATTTATTTTCGTATTTGATATCTTAGGGTAATGGTCTCATCACCACCCTATAGCAGGCTTCCAGGGGCTTGACCCTAGGGTGGGGCAATACATGGCAGCGCGGCTTTGTCTTCGCGGCCAAACTGGATTGGGTTAAAATAGGGTTTATATGAAACTAAATATGTATCGTATTTACGCTGATTATGCTGAAGCATGGGCTACAGGATTCCAAGATCCTGCTAGTGATTGGATGTATGCTATCATTGATTTACATGATAGAATTATTTTTAGTCTAATTATTATTTAGGCTGTTGTTGTTTGGTTCTTAGTTAGTAGCTGGTCTATGCCTGCTACTGACCACATGTCTCATTTACACCACGGTAATACTTTAGAATTAATCTGGACTATTACACCTGCCGCTATTTTATGGGCTATTGGTTTACCAAGTTAGAGATTACTTTATATGATGGATGAACTATTAGAAGCTGAATTATCTGTTAAAGTTATTGGTTCTCAATGGTTTTGGAGTTATGAATATTCTGATTACGTTAATGGTGATGAAGGTACTGGTATCGAATTTGATTCTTTCATGTTAAGTGACGCTGACTTAGCTTAGGGTGATTTACGTACCTTAGCTGTTGATAACTACTTAGTTTTACCTATTAACACTAGTATTCGTATTTTAGCTAGTTCTAATGATGTTATTCATAGTTTTGCTGTTCCTTCTTAGGGTCTTAAAATTGACTCTATTCCAGGTCGTTTAAATAGTG